GCAACGGTCCCCAAGCCCGCATGCCCGTCTTACGTACTTACCTGGGGTCCGGTACGGTTTGGTCTAGCTCTAGTAGTACAGATATCTCTCTCTGTATGGTTCGGCCCTGGTCTGGGGTTAGTCACCTCGCTCTTCCTCAATTAAAGTAAGGAGAAGTAGACGAAGTAACGCCGTCGCTCGGCGCCTACCGTCCACCCCCCCCCCTCCCCCCCCCCCCCCCCATGATTGCCAATACGTACATAGGTACCTAGTAATGGTCCATGCCATCGCCATACATACCTAGGTAGTAACGCCCATGTGACTGCTTGCAATGTACAATCGCATACTGGCTATTCGCCTCTGTTTGAGAGAGGTCAAGAGAGAGAGAGGTGTGTGTGGTCCTTGTCACTCACGATCGGAGATACATGCCGCAAGCCTCAGTCAGGTCCAAGAGACTCGGACCGCAAAACCCTGCCATACCAGATCAGACCGGTACCATATCTCATACCACACCATTCGGTACCTACCTAGTACTATGCCAAACAATTCCAAACCAAGTCGGACCAGGCCTTTTTCTGCCCCCCCCCCCCCCCCCCCTACCATACCGTACCCTGCTTTCCCATACCTCACTCTCCTCTACCTAGTCTCTTACACTTTCCCTTTACTCCGACCCTCTTCTTCAACTTTTCCCTACCACCACCTGCGATTCTTTTCGTGATCTTCTCACACTTTCAATTTTTCGCTTCTTTCTCCTCCAACTAGCTTGGTGGTCGGTCGGTTGGTCTCGAGACCTACTTACCCCGTTCGACGATTAAGACAAACCCGCCGCCGCCGCCGACGACGACGACTACACGATATCGCCGTTCACTGCCGACTTTCACCTACCGGGTTTTCCTTCCAAACGGCACCTTGCCGTCTTCAATTCGTAACAGAGGTCCCTATGATCCTTTGTAAACCGACCTAGATGGCCGGCTAGGCTACTCCTAGTATCTGTCTTTCTTTCCATTTCCTTTCTCGGACCCCCTTTTTTCGATTCTCTGCGACTGGAATCGCACCATATTGCAACAATGTCGAGTCCGAATCGGAACGGAAACCTGCCGGGTGGGGCTTTCATAACAACCTTCAACGGCAAGAGGTGTACGGCCAGGCCGAGGAGAGGAAACAACACGAAATCGAACAATCAACAACGCTCGACGACTACGTCCCAGTCGACCTCGACCACGACCTCAACCTCGACCTCAACCTCGATCTCGTCGACGCCACAATCGATACCTCCGCCGCAAACAAGCGCACCACCTCCGGTTACGACCACCTCTGCTGTTCCGCCGCCACCGCCGCCACCGCCGCCACCGCCGCCACCATCGTCGACAACACAACCGCCACCAGCAGCCGTTTTGACTACCACTTCAGCGAGTACGACGAGCTCCTCATCACCCCTTCCTGCCCCCCCCCTCCCTGTCACAACTCCCTCGTCAATAACGCCGCCTGCTCCCGAGGTCTCTAACCCTCTTCCAGCAGCACCGACGACTTCTTTGCCGTCAATCGTTGATGCGGAGCCCCCAGCAACAATCCCTACTTTTAACAACATCCCCATCATTCCCGTACAGAGTGCATCACCTACTTTTGCTCAATTACCCCTTCCTGCCTCTTCGTCTTCGTCTTCCTCAGTACCCGCCGTTCCTGTTGTGCTACCACCACCCGCTCCAGGAACAAGCCAGACCGATGCAAATGCAGTCCCAACGCCACCTGCCGCTGAAACATCGTCGGCATTTTTGAGCGATATCAACCCGTCGCCTTCTCCCACGAGCAGCGCGGGATCGGGACCGGGAGTCGGTGCAATTTCGCCCTCAACTCCTTTGAATCCTGGCACAGCTGCAGGCGAAGCTAGCAATGATCCTCCTGCATCAAGTGGGATTCCCTCTGGGAACAGCAGATCTGGCGGTGTAGCCACTCCGGTTGTTATCGCATCAAGCGTTGCCGGTGCGGTCGTGTTCCTTGGCCTGATCGGCCTCCTTGTTTGGTTTTGGCGTAAGAGACTACTAAAGAGGCGCCGGAGCACCCTTCTCACACCTTTGTCAACGGAGCCTCGCTCCAGACCTGCTGAGAAGTCATCATACATCATCGACAGAGGATCTTTGGGCCCGACACCACGTTCGGCCAAGCTTAAGGCGGCGCTCGGATACAACTTCCAGCGGTTCCTGGGTCAGCTTGGAGCACTGGTTTCGCCCAACCGAGACAGCAGCCCGACTAGGGACCGTTCTCAGTTTATGAATGTTTCTCAGCACAGTCGTAACAGCTCGTCATTGTCGAATCACGCGGGACCACGCGATGTGGTCACGACAAAAGACCGGGTCAAGGACTGGTGGGAACGGTTGACGGCTGACATGAATTTCAACTGGCGACTCCGAGGCAACGGCAATGGAAACATGGACAATGGCGCATCTGTTCCGGCACGCGGTATGAAGGATCCGAAAGCCGCCACGGGTGGGCAGCCCGATTTCTTGACGCTTCTAGGCATGGACGACAGGGAAGTCGAAAGGGAAGCTCAGCGAAGGCGTCTCAGTCGTGGCCATGCCAGCGTCAGCTCTGCAGACCACTTCCTCGGAGGCCTTGGACTCAACTTCGACAACGCTGCTGCAAACCCAAACCCCTTCTCCGATGCCAATGCAGTGCGTTACGATTCAGCAAAGCCAGTACCGCTCATGGTGGCCAACCCGGACAGCGATCCCTTCTCTGACGTCAACGCCATTTCGGCCCCGGCCGCAGCAGCCAAGCCGCCGTCGACGTACGTCGCAGACGTGCGCCGGTCTCGTGGAACATCGTTTGGCGGTGGTACATCAAGGCCGCCCAGTGGCTTGACATACACGCCTCGTCTGGACTCCATGTATCGAGACTCCGGGCAAAGCGTGGAGAGTTTCGCCACGAGGCGGAACAAATTCCGATCTGATCCGTTCGATCTGGAGCGGCCCGAGCTATTGGGTAGCCGCACGACGCAGACAAGCAGCAACTACAGCCAAGCCGGTAGCGGCGCGCCTCGGGTCCCAGGCTCTGTCCATACACGGACTGATAGCTTCAGCTCCAAGTACAGCAGCGGAATGAGCTTGGATGGATGGAGTGACCCAGGCCCAGATGTTGGGCCTTCCAATGGATCGAATTATCGCTATGAGACGGAGAGCCCAGTTGCAGGATACCGCTCTGGAGAGCAGAGGATGCCTGGTCGGAGGCCCAGCGGAGCCAGCCAGAACAGCGTCGGCAAGGCGCTATGAACATGCTGCCAGCAATACTGTACCACAACTCATTTTTCTACTACTTGTACACACGTTGGTTGGAAAAGGCCGACTGGAGGGGGGGGGGGGGAGACGATATTTTGCGGTTGGCATCCTTGGAACTCGGCCACCGATGGCATTTCTGATGAAGAGAGGGAGAGCAAGCGAGGATACCAACGAAAGAAAAAGGAATGGGCTAAGAGCCGGGTCGGGCATGATGGTGTTTTTGGTGTTTCAAGGGGGGAGAGGTGCACCGCACACGCATGTGTGCACACACATACATTCTGTCTGTGTCCTTTTGGTTTATTGTGATGAAGCAAGGTTGGCTCTTGGCCACGAGGTTCCATATACCCGTCCTCCCCTAAACTTCTACTCTTCCAAGTAGAAGCCGGTACAATGGGCGGGGAACAGCACAAAGCCTGTCCTAAGGTAATGATTATGTTATATCAAGTCCACGAAAATGAAACATTTCCCCATATGCCACATGCATGGTGAATTAATTGCTTGGCGGTATGTCGTTCATCAGTCGGGAATTGGATAAAAGAAAGGGCGCGCAGGCCGAATCTTTATGAGGCAATGTTAGAGTAACATAGCATAAGGGCATTGGAGTAAGTGGCTGTTACTTGTACGTAACCGGGGACGAGACCAACCATCCGGACGCCCGGCAGGGGGGTAGCCGGCAGGAAAGAAGCATGAATTTGGGACGATCACGGGACTCTTATTGGTAATGGACAGGCAGGTACCCCAAGTCGAGGTAACAAAAACGGTCACGTAGCGGTACAAAGACATCTCGCAGCCAGTACGTAGGACTACTACGCTTTGCAACATCATCATTGGCCACAAGGGTTTGTCCAGGAAAAGGACGGGCCTAGCAGCGACAATCAACCAGCAAGCAAATGGTTTGGGTGCATACTGCCTAGGTACCTAGGTAAGTGTACCTGCCCAGGTCGATACAGAGAGTCTACACTACGCTACAGTAGTGTACTACCCCTCATCCGTGGCGTCTATTCAGCATCAATGGCCATAAGCAAAACTAAATTTGGGACAATCAGCTCTCTGGTGATACGTCAGTGTCAGTCCACCGCTGTAGAAGAACATGGAGACCATGCCGCACTTGGGGTCAACAACGATATATATGCACTCCTGGTTTACAATAGCGCCATTTGTGGGGGTAAAGACCACGCGCGACCTTGCTCCTTACCAACGACAAACCGCAGAACCTGCCAGCGTGGCCTAGTACTACGACCTGCTTCCCATGTCAGACGTCTCTCCGAGAAACCCCACCACCACGTACACATACCTACGCAACTCTTGGCCTGTCCGGCTTTCCAGCTCCTCTGCTGCGGGACCGATCCGAACTCACCGCCGCTGGCCGAACCCGTTGATCAACCACCTCTCTCACCTTGCCTTACTTCAAACCTCTTGCCGGCTGGCTAGCCACGTTTCTATTTTGTCAACTATCCCGTGTTAGGCTGCCCGCCAACCAAGCTTCTTGCTTTTTATTCATTCATCGTGCTTACCCCATCCTACCTAGATAGCTACCCACGGTCGTTTCCGTCCTGCACTCCCTTTTTAGACACGCTTCTCTCCCGAGCCACCTAAGCCAGACGTAGCATCTCCTCTAGTGATAAGCCTCCCATCCTGCCACCGCAACCGAAACCAACCTCCTCTCCTACATGTCCTACTACTTCCTCAACGCTCACGCTTAAAACCACGCTCGCCCCCCTCCGATCTCGATACGCATCACGTTGAAAGATGGCTTATCAGAGCCCTCCGGAAACACCATCTTCCTCGGGCACTCACACCCCGACACACTCCTCCACCACCCCATCGCTCTCGAATTCCATGATCACGACCATGTGGTCTGGCTTAATCCGCCGCTTCTCCTCAGATATTCCCGAGTCCCATCCTTATAACGGCTACTCGCAAGAGTCATCACATCTCGCCCATGCGCACACCGAGCCCGCTGGCGGGGTCGCTTTCAAGGATGGCGTCCACGGCGTCTTCGTCCCCTCCCACATCAAACGCACCGCGAGTCCCTTCCGCCCCCCGCCCCTCGATCCCATCGTCCTGCATGGCTTCAAGGACAGCACGCCGCCGAGTGCCCGGTTACTGAGCCATGGCGTGGCCGAGGAGATCCGCATCATGCTGCCCGAGAGGCTGCGAATCATGGAGGATTGGAATTTGATTTACAGCCTGGAGCAAGACGGCGCCAGCCTGGCGACGCTGTACCAGAAGGCAGCCGACTATCAGGGTCGGCGCGTCGGATTCGTGCTAGTTGTTAGAGACGATGCCGGGGGCGTAAGTTTGAACAAGAATCCTTTGCTTCTCTTATGGTTTTCCCCATCGCGTGCCGCTGCGTCGCCAGCGCACTCTGCACGTTTTCGCTAGTCAAACAGCTAACCAAATACCTTCGACCAGACATTCGGCGCCTACCTCTCCGAGTACCCCCATCCAGCGCCCAAATACTTCGGCAACGGGGAATGTTTCCTCTGGCGAGCCTCTATCCTCACGCCCCTTCCTCCACCGCCGTCTGCCGACACAACGAACCTCACGCGTATCACCACCGTGGCTAGCCCGACCCGCTCTGCTTTCCCCAATAGTGACAGGCCGACACCGTCCCCGGCCCCGAGCGAGTCTATCCGCTTCAAGGCGTTTCCCTACTCGGGTATTAATGACTACTACATCAACTGCGAAACGGGTTTCCTCAGCGTCGGCGCCGGCGATGGCCATTACGGCCTGTGGCTAGACGACAGTCTCAACCGCGGCCACAGCGGTTGCAGCCAGACCTTTGGCAATGAGCCCCTGAGCGACGAAGGGGAGAAGTTTGGCGTGCTGGGCGTTGAGTTATGGGTGCTTGGAGCTTGAAGAGAGAAGAAAACACTGCAAGTCAATGAACGACCTGCAGACGGACCAGTTGGTACAATTGTGGACGAGAGCGGAGAACGTTGGACGGAAATGTCTACACTAGATGCCACAGCACCGCTTCCACAAGTGGGCGGAAAGGAAAGTCTCTACGGTTTCGAAGCAACATGGGGTCGCGGCGGCACTCAGGAGATAATACGGATGCCGCTTTGGATTAGGTGTTGGGACTTGGCGCTCTCTGGTAGCATGGGATGAGCGAGCGTTTCCGAGGCCGAAGGGGAGGGCAATGTGCACGAACGACGCAGCACTCCACAAACGGGGTTGGAGGCAAGGCCGGGAAATGATGAGGCTGCATACGCATGACATGAGCTCTTGGCAACTTGTATGCCACGCAGACTATATCCTCCGTCTGGATACTGGGGGCGACGAGAGCGGTCACCTCCTGTCCGGGCTTTGACAAAGGCAAGGTGGGCGGGACTGGATCGGGAAACCGGGCTACGAAGATACAAAGACGTTGAAATAATGATACCCTGGAATTGAAGTAGTAACACTGATGTCCCCTCTTCCCCTAACACACACACACACACACGCACGCACGCACGCACACAAACATCGTGATTGCATCCTGTCTTCTCATCGCCTAGGCCAAGGGAGGCGGGGCTGAAGTCAACGGTTGCATCCACATCAAATAATGGTAAGACGTCGTCATCGGCAGAGGCTGACCAGTCCACAAACAGACGGGTCGACCACCCTCTCCCAGGAGAGGGCCCGTCTCCCGAACGCTTCGCTCGAGATCTCGGTCATCCAGTGGGGACTGGCATCTTGCAGAAGATGCATTCTCACGGCTTGGCCACCACACAGAACCATCAGGAAATGGCAACGAGCATCGGAACGGGATATTTTGGTAGGCCAAAGGGCTCAGGCAAGTATGAAATGACCAAGTTTAGACGAGATAAATATTTGCCTATCCATCCGTTCGACAGACTCTGGCCGAGTCTGTCTGGCATCGCATATGTTACTGTGTATTTCCTAACCTCTGCAGGCCTTACGGCTCAAGTCTCCTCCCCTTTCCCACATGGATCATCTATAGTCACTTCTCCCCCTTCCCTCGGGTTTAGCCGCTTTGCTCAGCGAGTCTCTCGGCTTCTTCATCCTTATGAGTCAGGTCGTTCTCCTCACATCAAAGCGTGCGACCAACTGCAGGCAATGTCTTCTGGTTCTTTTCTTCCGTTTTCTCCGGCCCCTTTGCTCACCGCATAATTTCCTGGTAAATCAATTGCTTCAGCTGCTCCTTGCTCAGGTTGTCCTTGTGCTTGTCGAAGTCAAAGAACTCCTCGGGAATGGGAGGCGCGGTGGGCTCGTCATCCGGGTCGTGGTACGGCTCAAGGTATGGATGCTTGAGGGCGTCCTCAACCGTGATACGCTTCACAGGGTTGAAAGCAAGGAGCTTTTCGAGGAGGTCGAGAGCCAAGTCGGATGTCTTGGGGAACAAGGTGCGGAAGGGAACCTTCTTCTTGAAAGGAAGCGAGCGGATGTACTCCCTGGCACGGCGGGACTTGATCCCGTAGTAGTCCTCCATCGTCGGGGTACCGAGGACATCGAGAATCAGGGTCAGCTGGTGGTGGTCTGTCGCATTCCTTTGTTAGCATCAACGCTCACAATAGCAAACGGTTCTTATTTGACTTACAGTCCTTGCCAGGGAACAGGGGCTTTCCGCTCAGCATCTCGGCCAGAATACAACCGACAGACCAGACGTCGATGGCTTTCGTGTACTCCTTGAATGTCAACATGATCTCGGGAGCACGGTACCAGCGCGTTGCCACGTATTCCGTCATGAATCCCGAATTGTCTTCTTGAGAGGCCGCGGAACGAGCCAGGCCAAAGTCACAGACCTTCAGGTCACAGTTGGCGTTCAGAAGCAGGTTGGAAGGCTTCAAATCACGGTGTAGGACGTTGGCTGAGTGCATAGCCTTGAGGGCACGAAGGGTCTGGTAGATGAAGTACTGGCAATGGTCGTCGGACAGATCTTGGGTGCGGATGACACGATGCATGTCCGTCTCCATGAGTTCCTGATGGACAGCGCCCGTTAGCAATCGTCCTAGTTACGCGAGGTATAGTGTGTAGAGTGCTGCCTACCTGAATGAGGTAGACCTCATTGAAAGTCTCGTAGCTCCGGGGCTTTTGAATGTCAAGGATGGAGATAATATTCTCGTGGTTGAAGTATCTCAAAAGCTTCATCTCACGAAGGGTTCTCAGGCAGAACATCGAGTGGTCGAAGGGTGTGATCTTCTTGATGGCGACCTTTTGGCCAGAAGGCTTGTGTATCGCAGAGCTGTTGCGTGCTCCGTCAGTGAGATGGCTCCTCCGACGTGACTAAAGACGGGGGTCTAACGTACCAGACAACTCCGTAGGCACCCTCGCCGACGACATCCTGAATATCGTATTGCTCGCTCACATTGAACGAGATCTTTCGGGAGCCCGAAGCATTGGGGGGGTTCGCGCGCGACATTGTTGGCGATGCGCGACGATTGGTATCGATGTGGAGCGGAAGTTGTCGAGGTGGTTTGTCGACGAAGTAATGCCACAGGCGGGTCCCTCGCGAAGGGGATACTACCTCGGGCGGAGAAGAGAAAAAGGGGGTTCAGGGAGGGAGAGAATTAAGTCGTCCTGATAAGGCCGTCTTGCACAACCACAATTGCTGCTTTGAGCCGTAGTTCGGTAAGGAGCGGGGAGAGTCTTTGTTATCGTGGTCTGCGGGGGTATAAATTATTGGCGGGAAAGCGGCCGTTTGATGCTTATCGAAAGACAAGGTGGGATGGACGACTGCAAGAAGAAAAGGCCGGGGAACTGCTGGTAGGCGTTCGGACACAAAGCTTCGCAAACCAGCGGTACTTTGTTATTTGACTGGAGGGAAGAAAAGGGTGCCAGGTCGGTCCAGTCAATGAACAGATACAGGCAGATCGGCTTTTGTGAGTATTTTTTGAGAACGGGGGATGGGACAAAGAGGGACAGATGGGAGAGGGTGGAAGGGGACTGAGTCGTCGTCGGAGGTTCGAAAGTGGGCGAGGGCCGTGTTTCTTGGGTCCGCTCGGGCCCTGGGTGCTGGGTAAGGTCCGCTTGTCACAGGCCCGCGGGGAGCTTGTTTGATTCTTGTCAACGTCCAGGGTCTCTGATCGTGGAAGACGAGCAGAAGCAGTTTATCAGCTTCTGATTCCTTTCGTTGTCTTTTCTTCTTCTTTTTCTATCCCTTCTTTGGCCAGTGTGGCACTTGGCTGTTGGCGGCTTTCTTGAACAAGCTGTCGGGTTACTGCAAGTTTTCGGTGCAGAGGGTTGGCTAACAGGGAAGTGGCTGCGAGCAGAGTTGGGTGTTAGCTGGAAGGAGCTCCAACGGGTCAAGTGACAGAACAGGCAGGTATCCCGGGATGGGCAAGGTTGGTTGGGTGAGGAGAGGGTCCAAAACAGCTGGGTTATGGAACGGAACGGGGTCGGGAGACAAATGCGGGTACAACATGTGCTGTAGGATAAGGGAGAGAGTATGGTGTGGATAGGTGGGTTGAGGCGTTCAGGGCAGGTCGTCCAGGTCTTTGGAAAAAAAGAACCAAATGCGGTTTTGAAAAAGTAGAGGGAGAGACAGCAGACCCTTACGCCTTGTTCTTCTCGCCCTTCTCGAAAGCGATCGAGCCTTTGAGAAGGTTTGGCGCGACAGGCGGTTACAGCGCAGACAGGCTTCCAGAAGAGGAGCGGGCGGAAAGCGCAAAGGGGATCAAGGCAACAGGCGAGAGCAGCGGATGAAAGGGGAGAAGACGAATGGGCGACAGTGGAAGGGAAAGCGGGTCGCGACGTAACGAAACGAGGCAAAAGGAAAGGGGAGCGGGCGATGAACCGAGCACCACTTGCGACGCAACTTCAGATGAGAAGAGCCCGAGGAGCGCGCGTAAGATGAGAGACAAGATCACACCACAGGAAGCAGGCCTAGAGACAAGCAGCGTGGTTGCACCTAAGCTTTGCAAACTCCTGGACTGGGGCGAGACCGCTTGTGCTTGGGTGCGTCTTGGTCAAGCGAGATCGGATTGTGCATGCGCCTGTATGATCTTCGGGTCCCAAGAGTGAAGCGTGGCTGAAGGGGGAAGCAAATGGAAAGGGGAAAGGGTCAGGAGGGGTAAAGTGGGATGAGGGATGCGAAGCAAGCACCGAGCGGACGGCAGCAACGACAACACAACGATAGTGTTTGCTGAAGACGGCGGACACGGGAAACGACCTGGCGCAGAGAAGACAAAGTTCAAGTACGTACCGAGATTGTGCGATGGGCAAATAGGTAGGTAGTCAATGAGACGACTGCGTGCTGTTAAAGCAGGGCGAAGTAGGCGTGTCGATGGTTCGGTGAAAGGAGAGGTAGGGTAGCTTGAAGCTGGAGAAGAAGAGATGTTCCTATGAGTCTGCGATGATATGGATGGACGAAGCTAAGGATAATAAGGCAAGGCAGGGTGAAAGAAAGGTGGACAGGACAAGGCTCCAGACTGGTATGTAGGTATTCGGTCTTACCCCGCTGCAGATTTGACCCTCACTTTCTCTCTCTCTCTCTCTCTCTCTCTCTCTCTCTCTCTCTCTCTGCTCGTCTGGGGTGACTCGATGATGGAGTGCCAGGCCTTTGGTTGTGTTGCTGGAGTGGTTTTCTTTTTGCCCCGGGTTATTTCACGTAGCGTTATATCCGTCTGAACCACCGTCGGTTCAGCAGCAGCAGAAGTAATTGAGGTGAAGGCGAGGAGCCAGGAAGCGAGGTCGCGTGGTGAAGGAAGCGAGGTCGCGTGGTGAAGGACGCGGGTTGATGTCGTGGGGTCAATCTGGCAAAAGGTCACCCTAGTGTACTGGAAGGGGACGCGAGCGGAGAGCAGAGAGGGGGAGGAAGGGGCACAGAGTCGCGGGACCTGCCTGCCCTCAAGCAAGCTACTAGTAGTAGAGTACTTGTACCTATCTTGCGTCCTGGGCAGGTCACTCAGGAAAGGTATACCCTAGGTACTGGGCTACGTCCTTGGACGCGGTTCATGGCGAACAATTAGTGTCTAAGCGGGGGGGGAGTACAGGCATGGGTACCAGAGCTGGAGCCCGTTCAAACACCCCGATCAAGGTCCTGGTACCTTCGTTTGGAAACGTGCTTGCTTCAGGAAACCCCGCTAGAGGACCAGGGCCACAAATCTTTAACCCCCCGTCCACCAGTGCTCAATTCACAATCGGATCAGGGTCCAGAGCCCCAACCTGGATACCTAGGTAAGTATGTTGTAAAAGGCACAGGTCATTAGCGGGTTACGATGCCTTCGTATAAGGCAATGAAGGGAACCAAATCCGATCTGTTTCGACCGTTGCTTCAAGCCAGTTACACACATATACACCACACGAGATGCTGCATTCTATACTGAGGCTTGTTGTCGTTGAGGATTCGCTGTTTGTGAGAAACATGCCAAACGTCCCATGCCAATGCAGTTGTCTCGATTAACAAGTCCACATTGGCTTCAGCTTCCACTTCGCCGTGCTTTAACGAAGCACAATAAACAAAGCAGAAGTCCACGGCGGCTGGCTGGTGAGGGAGCGACCTGAACTTACAGCTCAGGGAATCCCAACCTGTTTTCATCCGCGACGGAGGGTGGCTTCAGAGGCGCCCTGTCAAGGTCATCCCGGCATCCCACGAAGCCAATTGCTGAGCAGACAAAGCCAGGTTTCACGCCTCTCCACCCTCTTCTGTCCACTTACCTACATAGCAGGTCATTTCGGCCGCAGCGATCGAGCTAATGCTGTTAAGGACCTGCTACTTCCAGTACAGAGGCAACACGACGAATACCACTGTTCTACGACCATGGCAGACAATCCCTTTAGTCCGTGCCTTCGCAATGTCTGGAGCAACCGAGTATCTCCAGAATCCAGGCACACGGATAAAATATAAGTACCAGTCTGCTGATTGTTCCATATGATCTAGACTTTTCGCCTGACAGGGTGCGTTATTCAGTAACCCAGCCCTGATACCCAGAAGCGTGAGGCAAGTGGCGCGGTCTGATCCAAGCGAGGGGCGCATTGCGGCCTCGGAACAAATGGATATATTCAAAGCTTCCATCACGTAGATGCCGCTCGAGGCCAGAAGATGGAATCGTTGCTTCTCCAAATTTTCCCTTCATTCCCTGCACGACGGGGACACGGGGAGGCTTCAGATTGGGATAATCCTCAGATGGACGATATGGCTCCCAGCTCTCCCTCCCCCACTCTCGAAGGATAAGTTCCAGCTGACTTTTACCCATGTATGACAGCGACTGTATACCAAAGATCTCCCATGTCTTATCACACCTCTCGATGCCGATGCCGTAGTTACCCGTTTCGACCCTGTTGCTTGGTCTGGAGACACTAAACAAGCTTGGTGTAGGATGAACAGTATATCTGCTGTAAATCAAAGTGAGTATACGGATGGCAATGCTTATTGTGTTTCATGGATATTACCTACCTTTTACCCACTTTCAAAGGCTACCTGTACTTGAGTCAGCAGGTCAAGATCGGACTGGTAGCAGGAGCTTGGCGTATGCATATATCAGATATTGTGCTAATCGGGGATGTTCTTTCCAGAGGCAGCAAGGCTTGCTTCTCTGTCATCCAGCCAATCAACCAATACTGCCAGCCCAATTCTTCTGCATTGCGTTTTCAGGAGTGATGGTTCGCTGGACGAGCAGAAAGGAGACGCGCACACTGCCCTGTGGCGAATCAGAAATAACTCAATCAACTGTCAAAGTCCGATTCTCGACCATCATTGGTCAGCACTCTGCAGCCACAGCACACGTCCAACGGCGCCTAGCCCCGCCCACCATTGGTCCTTGAGCCGGAGTTCTCTTCTCCTCGGCGCGTGTGTTTCACCTCTCACTGGCACCAGTTTCACTATCCCCAAGCCCACCCGCCTTATTCACTCATCTCAAGTTACCCAAATTCCGAACCATCCTGGCACAGGAAACCTGCCGCGGAGCCTGCCTCTCTCCCCTTCTCATTTAATCTCCTTACCCTACCTACTAGCGGCTATTACTATACTCTGTATTTGTACCCAAAGACAAGAAATATACGGAACGGCACGATAGGCCGTCATATAGAAAGGAAGGGCGCCGCTGACTAGAACATCACGCCGTTTTACCGGTTTTACCGTCCTTCCCTATCTATGAGAAAGAGGGAACTCCCCCTTCTTGTAGCTCTGGTGTGTGACGGGTCATCAGGGCCAAGCTTATCAACCTCTCGAGGTGGAGGTGAGCCCGTTCCTCTTAGGCGTGGCGTTCCAAGAAACGGGCAAGCTCTCCGATAGATTCTGTCATTTGTCATGGGTTGCGCTTCGATCGTACTGTCATTCCAGTTGCTTGCAACCACAATGAATTCGCGGCGTATTATAAATATTGAACTAGGTTCAACACACCAACTAAGTGGTAAACAACATTCGGCCACCATTAATGCGATCTCATTTTTCATTTTCACACCGATTCTAAATAAACCTAG